ATAAATACACAAGCCAGGTATGGTGGCTCATGCCTGTTATCCCAGTACTTTGGAAGGCACAGGCAAAAGGACTGCCTGAATCCAGGGGTTCAAGACCAGCCTGGGCAACTTGGTGAGACCTCACCTCGTCTCTACAAAAACCAAAAGAAATAGTTGGGCATGGTGGCACTCACCTATGGTTCCAGCTACTTGGAAGGCTGAGGTGGAAGGATCATCTGAGCCCATCAGGTCAAGGCTGTGGTGGCTGTGAGCATGCTACTGCACTCCAGTCTGGGTGACAGTAAGAGTGACTCAGAAAAAGAACCCACACAATTTTCTATAAATAAATTCAGCTTTTTTGGTCCCTCCTCATATATCCATATCACAAAGTGGCACGTGTACCCCAGAAAGCTACACTAAAAACTTCTCGAGAGCCACACTTCTTGTCATGGACCCACTGCCCCTGCACTCTGGCCAGTGTGCCTTCTCTTCCCTGAAGCGGCCAGACGGGAGCAAAGGAGAAAAGCAAACAGGGGCTTGTCCTAGCTGGGACAGAGCATGGGAGCAGGGGACGGGCCCTCCCCCCCCCACTGGGCTGGGCACAGCTTGAGGGAACCAGCCCAGATGTGGAAATCCCGAGTCAGCAATCAGGGCCTGGCATCCAAACTCAGGAGTCCTGGGGGCTGTCACTTATTTGTCCCTTTCACAGACAACAGCTTATGGGATCCGCTCACTCCATCTCCGGGTCCCCTCACGTGTACCCTGCCTGCTCCGTGCCCGCTGCTGCGCCTTAGTTCAGGCTTGTTCCTCTCCCCCGACTCCGCCAAGAGTGACCCTACTCCTGGTGCCACTCCTCAGAGGCACTGCCTATCCTCCCACAAGGCCATTCTCAGGCAGGGGCGGGAGGTCTCCCGTGTGCCCAGTCCAGAAGGCCCCCCCTACGTGGCTCCAGCCACATTTCCCACCACTGGCCACACGAGCTCCACCCCAACCGTGGCCCTCTGGGTGTGGCCATGCTCCCCCATCTCTAGATTTTACACAGGGACATTCTCTCTGCCTCACGTGGCATTCCCCTTCCCAGAGAACTCCTCCTCAGCCTTCAAAACCCAGTTCAGGCATCCTACGTCTGAAAAGCTCCCCCGACCCAGCTGGCTCCCACCCAGGCTGAGGGTCACCTCCTCTTCAGGACCACCAGTGTGCCCGAGCGCCTGTTGCTGCATGATGGTGCAAGCACCTGTCATGTGGACGGACGTCTCCTCTGAGGGATCCGGCACAACCGGAGGCTGGTGTCCCCTGGCACAGAGCTGGGAGACAAGTGACAGGCTGGGTGGGGTCTCACGCCCGCCAGTGTCCGTGGGACGGGACCGCGCGACAAACGGGAAGAAGTGAATCCACCACAAGAACGAATTCCGTCAACCTATGCGTGTTCAAGTTTTATTACAAAGTATGATGGGCAGAAAATATGGTACTTCGTATACAGGAGGCTGAAACAGAAGGAAAGGGTGCGGTTAGGGTTACCCAACTTAGGAAGCAAGGAGTAAAGCACACTCCTTGTCACACTCTACGGCGGCGCCTCTGAAGCAGCCTTCAGGAGAGCGTCCCCACCGTGCTCACAGCACAGTGCTCCGTTTCATTCCAAGCCCTGCATACAATCAGTCCTGCGAAAAGAATGTTCATCAAGGAAAATGGTGCCAGGACACTTCCGCAAGGGCAGCTTCCTCTCCACCCATCCACGGACGCCACGAGGCCTACAGCATAGAGGGAGGCTCCCACACTTCACGGGAAGGAGCTCAGACGCCCGAGGCTCATGGGCAGAGGTGCGGCGCCTGGGAGCCCCGCAGTTCAGAGCGCTAGACATTGCCATTTCTACAGAGAGGCTTATACAATCATGCTACAAGTCACACAGGGGTCGGGGAGGTCACTGACAAGAGGGGGCATGGAGTACACAGGAGCCAGCACAGGGGCCCATACCCGGCAGAAGCGACGCAAAGCTTCAGTGCAACCATTTCCATTACACACTGTATGCCACCATCAACCCAAGGCGAGAACACCGCTTTCAGACAGCAGGGATCCCAAGTTCATTTCCATCGGGCTGTCCCAAAGGCAGGTGCCTGTGAGTTTCCAGCTGTTACAGACTGCCAGCATCCTTCTTCTGAGGTCAAAGCTTTTGCAGCTTACTGTCTCCGGCTGCATAAGCCAGTCCATGCCCCCAAGGCACCTGCATGTGTCCATATTTAAACAGTGACATCCAGAGGTAGCCTGAGACGACCCAGCCCGTCATCCCGTGTGGCCACAGAGCTGACTTAGACCATCAGCAGCAATGACAGAGGGAGGCGGAGAGGGCACAGACAAGCGCGGCGGGTGAGACTCCCTGGCACCGGCGCCCTGCAGCAGCCGGCCCACTCGGCCTGGCCTGGCTCACAGCGACTGCTCTGCTGTCCCCGGGACACCCGGTCTCAGAGCCGGGTGTGACCCGGAGCCCAGACACTCAGGGAAGGCTGGCTTCGAGCCTCCACCCAGTCCCAGCCCACCAAGGCAGGCAGCAAAGGCACTGCCGTGTTTTCACGTGGGGGGGCCCGCAGGGTTGGTGCTGGGCTGCCCTCCTGTGTCAGGCGAGCCCACAGCCCCTGCGTGTGCTCATGGCAGGTAGAAAGTTCCGCTGGGAAGGTGAGAGGAAGAGAAGGAAAGGTCACACGGCTCTTCTGACCTCTGCCGCTTCTGCTCTGCGCAAACCCACCCCAACAGCAAGCTCTGCGACAGTCGTGGGCCTCCCACGCCTGCTGGCTCTCACCACCCAAAAGCACCACAGCTGCCCTGCGGGAGGGGGACTCCCTCTCTGTGAGCTGTCATCCAGTCCCCACATTACCCGCACTGTCACAGCCCAGGAAGACTAGCACCAGCTGGGGGCTCCAGCCATGCACTGGGCAGTCTGATGCTCACCCCAGCCTTCGCGCGCTCTGTCATTTCCTCACTTGATCCAAGAAAACACTTGCCACATCCTGAATCTCCGCCTCAAACTCCAGCCCAAACTGTCATCCCAACCACACAGGAGTCTGAACATGCTGCTTCTTCCTCGCGCTCTGAGAGCCGATCCTAGTTTTCCTCACCCAGTTACTCTTCGTCTTCGCCTTCCCAGTTCTACACCCGCAGGCTAGTCCTTCCCCGGAGGAAGAGGCTTTCACTCTCCTGAGGGTAAGGCTGCAAGTCCTCGATGATGTAGACTATTCTCAGCTCTGGGAGGAGGGGTGGGCGAGGGGAAGACGTCTGCAACCCAGCTTACTCAGTACTGCTCCCCTTCCTCAGAGCAGGCGTCAGGGCCACACGTGCCAAACCGAGCCAGGAGCACCTCCACCTGCCCTGGAGGTGCCCTGCGGGGCCCGAGGAAGGATGAGCCGGCTGGGAGCCACAGGGCAAGGGAAAACAGCCTTGAAGGCTGCTGGTTCCCAGGATCAACAGTCATCTTCTCCAAACGGAGCCTAGCTACCATGACCGACCGATCGTTTTCGAGTTGCTGTGTTCAGGTTCAGGGCGGACACATCTCAACACGCAGCCCAGGCTCAGGAGCAGGTCAGGAAGGGAGTCTCAGAACGCAGCGATGGTGAGTCCTGACCCGGCAGGACCAGCCCGCCAACCACGCTGCCTTCCGCTTCAGACCCTTCCCACAGGAAGGAACAACGGCCCCTAGCACAAGCAGTCATCAACCCAGACTCACCACCCTTGAGAGAGGGACCCAGTGTCTGTTCCCAAACACTACTCGGGCAGAGAAAGGTTCCGATAAGGACCTGCGTGCTTTACATACACCTCCAGGTGATGCACGCAAAGCCGGTGGTAAGTGCAGGACATCAGCCTCCCCACGGGTAGCCAGCACCCCCAGAGTGGAGCAGGAGTCAAAAGGCAGAAGGGAAACACCGTCTGAGAAGGAGCCTTTCTCTTTGAGACACGCCCCTGCGTAGTAAAGCCAAGAACTCTGACTCCTAGTGTACATTCCACCTGCTTCTGAGGGCTCGAAGAACAAAGCTCACAGACTCTTCTCAAGCAGGCGAGAGCCTCAAGGGACATGCCACCAGCCTTCAGGCCTGCGGCTCTTCTCTCCTCAGCTAAGCGACCCACAGGGCCCCGAAAACCTCAGGTGCTGGGCAGAGCAGCCGAGCAGGCCAGCCCCAAACATGTCCCGAGCCCCACCTACCCCAAGCACCCACCTAACAGTGGCCACACACAAGCCCACAGAGCTCACAGAATGGAAAGACACCTGTGGCCTGTAGGCCAGCACAGACAACGGTACCTGCAAGTCCAATACTGCTCAGCACCGGTGCTGGGGGCTCCAGCAGCTGAGCCTGGGGCCGAGGACGTGTTCGCTCTGTCTGTTCACTAGATGGCCTGGGATCGCCACCCTGAAGCTCTTGTTCAGGGTCAGGAGCAGTCTGTGCCTCTTGAGAGGATGCCCTCAGTTCAGGGCACTCCATCCAAAGAGCCCAACACACCACCAGGTACAGCAACCTCAGCATCAGAAGCACCAGGCGCAAACGTCACCCTTGCCTGTCATTTAGGACACTTGGTGCCCGGCACGGGGCTAACATCTGGGGCGAAAAACAGACACTGGAAGGATGTCCTGGAGATACGCTTCAGCTTCTGAAACCAGTCCCTCGAGCCGGAACCCGTGAGCCTGCCTGCCTCGACTTTGTCACATTCCCGTGAGCACCAATGCACTTGGCACAGGCACTGCAGCGCGGAAAAGAGGCTTCCTGTGTCTGTCTGAGCCCAGAATGCCCTGGGAAGAGCCAGGCAGAGGAAAGAGTGAGGAGTAGGTGGACGTCAGAGCACCAAGGTGGCCTGGACTCCCGGTCAGGTAGGTGCGACTCAGGCAGTGACTCGAGAAGGCAAGCTGTTCGTGGGGCCCGGGGCCCAGTGCCAGCTGCAGGCACTGAGGGCAGAGAGGAGGTGCCACGGGGAGGACTATAAAACAAAGGAAGAACCAGAGTACAAGCCTTTTCATAAAAAAATTAGCCTGGTAGATAAAAATATACAAAGTTGAACTTTGTTAAAGACACAGATACTAGGAGGAAAGACAACTTTAAACTGGAATTTGTTCCCACATAAGTGCTGACACGGACAAGGACACAGATGTGACACAGACCGCCACCCTGGGCAGCAAACAGATGGAGACACAGGCAGGACACAGACACAGCAGTGCTTGCACTCAGCAACACAACAGCTGACCAACACATACACAGACATTTTTAATGGAGGGAACAAAGGAGGAAGGAAAGGAGGACAGAGAATCTTAAAATCAGCCCTGGGCTGAGGTGGCGCCACATGGCACCGAGTCTGGCACAGGCGGGGCAGCTGGCCACACTCCTGGAGCAGCTTCTGGAAACTGTGGGTGCAAAGCAACAAGACACACGGGCCGCTGGAAACACGGCTCTTCTTACTTTGGGGGTGGGGCAGAGGCGGGAAGCACACAAGCCCTGCCTCCCGGCACAGTGCCAGTGCCGTCTACACTCGGAGGATCTCCAGGCAGTTGTTGTAGCAGATGGCAATCCAGTCGGGCTGTGTGGACGCCCACTGCACATTGTTGATCTCGCCTTCGGCTGTGTAGGCCAGGATGGGATCCTCGATGGCCCGGGGCATCTGCTGGATGTCCCAGATGAGAGCCTGATGGTCATCCGCTGGGGACAGAGAAAGCCCACAAGCAAGGTCACAGTCCACAATCGGGTGATGGCCCTCACGCTAGGGTGCGAGCCACAGTTTACAAAGCATTTGTTCACCAAAACCGGTGAGGGGGTTTTATTTATGTATTTATTTATTTATTTAATTTTTTTCCCTTGAGTTGGAGTCTCACTTTGTCGCCCAGACTGGAGTGCAATGGCCGCTCCCAGCCACTGCAGCCTTGACCTGCTGGGCTCCGGCGATCCTCCCCCTCAGCCTTCCAAGTAGCTGGAATTACAGGCGCGTGCTACCACACCCGACTGATTTTTTTTTTAATTTATTGTAGAGATGAGGTCTCGCCAAGTTGCCCAGGCGGGTCTCGAACCCACGGGCTCAGGCAATCCACTCACCTCGGCCTCCCAAAGGCGCAGGATTACAGGCTGAGCCACCGAGCCCGGCTAGAGGGGGTTTTACTTAAGCTCTTGCATCTTACAGATGAGGAACCCAAAACTCAGAGATGTTAACAGAATGTGCCCCAAACCACATAGCAAGGAGCCAGCAAGTGGCAGAGCCAGACTCAAATCTAGACCCTGACTCCACGTCCCAGATATACCCATGTTCCATACACTGCACCAGAATTAGGATCACATAACGGGACTCAGATGGGCACCTCTCATCTGGGTCAGGCATCAAGAGCAGGCAGTGGGATGCCAGAACGTGTCACCTCAGCCAGTTGAAATACTCAAGTGGTTAGAGGGCCTTCCCTGACCATTCAATATAATGTGAATGTTTTTCTCATTTTATGAACATTCACATGATGAGGTATATATTTTATTTATTATTATTAAAAAAAATTTTTTTTGAGTTGGAGTCTCACTCTGTTGCCTAGACTGGAGAGCAGTGGCACGCTCACAGCCACTGCAGCCTCGACCTGCTGGGCTCAGGCAATCCTTCCACCTCAGCCTTCCAAGTAGCTGGAACCACAGGCATGTGCCACCACACCCAGCTAGTTTTTTTATTTATTGTAGAGACAGATCTCACAAAGTTGCCCAGGCTGGTCTCGAACCTCTGGATTCAGGCAATCCTCTCGCCTCGGGCTCCCAAAGTGCTGGGATTACAGGCTTGAGCCACTGCACCTGGCCTTAAAATTTTTTTGCAGAGACAAGGTCTTGCTGCATTGCCCAGACTGGTCACAAACTGCTGGGCTCAAGCAATCTTCCTGAGTGTTGCACAGAAGACAGAGGTAAAGTACTGTGTAGACCTGTACTGGTGAAACATTTTTTTCCAAAGAAAAAACGAAAGGGCTATGGGAAACACCAGAAAGAAGGTAATCACCATATAAACATAATTCCCATGTACAAATATAAAATACATAGGCATACATGAAAAATGACTGGAAGGAATGATTTCAAAATGAGAATGGTAGCAAGTTAAGACAGCAAAATTGTGTTAGGCTTACTTTTCACTAGTTCCTAAGTGACCTGTAATGTCATATTACTTTTACAACACAAATAAGTTATTACTTTAAAAAAGGAAAAAGGCAGTGATGCCCAGGGCCCAACTCGGCCACCAGCCTGACGTGAAAGCTGCTCTCAGATCCAAGGAGGACCTGCATATAAACTCTGACAGGCCAGGCCAACTGTGTCAGCACCAGTCTTGCCAAGGTTGCACGCTGGGCAAGGTGCGAGACCTTCCCAGAGATGCTGCGAGAGGCCTGGGAGCCACCTCACACCAGCACCTGCCAAGCACTCAGCAGCGCCCTGCAGCCGAAGGGGCTCGAGGCAGGTACGGCACACCCCACAGCAGCGCACCGTCCATGGTGGCCCCAGAGCAGATGGGCACCTGCGGCCAGTCCTGCTTCTGACGAACAACGCGAGACCCTTCTTTCTGTTCCGCCCATACCCCAGCCACCATCTGGCGACATGCAGAAGGCCACTCACAGCCTGGTAGAAGAGGCCCTGCCACCACGTACAGGCACAAGTGAGGCCCAGCCCGGAGGGCGCCCCTAAGCCAGGAGCACCACCGGGCCGGTGCCACACCAGGGGCCCTGCTCACTCCCAGGCTGCTGGCTCGTGAGAGGAGACCCGAGGCACGACATGGCAAGGGGCAGGCGCCAAGGGCGGGCAGACGACAGGCTGGGGTCGGGTCTGGGGTGTGTGGGGCTGGAGGGCGACAGCGAGGACAGGGTCACCCGTGGAGAGTGGGAAGAGGGGAGAAATGGGACAGGAAGGAGAAAGAAGGCCTTCGCCCTGTTCTGTAGACGCCTCTGGACCGTCTTCATCTTTAACAACAGATACAGTACTCTGGAATAAAAGCCCACTGCCAGCATGCTTTCAAGGGATGCTCGCTGTGGTCTGGGAAACGGCACAAGGGGAACAAGTTACACCCTCTGCCCAGGCGCGGCTCTGAGGGCCTCGAGGGCCCCCAGAGCCCACTGCCGACTCACTGCGGGAGGCGCAAGAGCCCTGGGAGACAGTGATTCTGTTACAGCCAAGAAGGACACCTCCCTTGCCTGTATTCCCACATCTGAGTCCCTGCGCCGAGCAGGAGACTTCAGAGCCGGCAGAGGCCCAAGCCCATAACTGACATGTGATGTAAGCAGCACACACAAGATGCTCTGACAGCCACTGAGGGCACAGGACCATCTGGGAACATGGAATGCTTGAGCTTCGCAAGTGGAGGTGGACCCAGTTGGTCACTCTGTGCAACTGTCTCAGAACTGTCCACGGAAAACAATGAGGACCACAATTCTGAGGAGCCGGGAGCACACCCCCCCACCCCCATGGCTACCTGCGGTGCAAAATGTGGCAGGAGGAATGCGGGGCCCAAGCGATGCCATTGACACACGCACGGTGGTTGTTTAACCTGGCGACGGGAGTGCAGGGGACTCGGACATCCAGGATCACCACCTGCAGAAATGCAAGGAAAAGGACGGAGCTTCAGGGTTCGAAGGAAGAAACAAACAAAAACCCCACGCCAGAATTTCTCAGCATAACTTTTTCATCCTGTGGATTAACGAATACCAGAGATGAGCTGCGCGTGGTGGCTCAAGTCTGTCACCCATGCACTTTGGGAGGTATAGGTGAGAGAACTGTCTGAGCCCACAGGTTCGAGACCAGCCTGGGCAACTTAGTGAGACCTCATCTCTACAATTAAAAAAAAAAAAAAATAGCTGTGTGTGGTGGCGCATGCCTGTGGTTCCAGCTACTTGGAAGACTGAGGCGAAGGATCACCTGAGCCCAGCAGGGTGAGGCTGCAGTAGCCGCGAGCATGACACTGCACTCCAGCCTGGATGACGGAGGGAGACTCCAACTCAAAAATAAGCAAGTAAATAAATAAATAAATAAAATAATAATAATACCAGAGACAGATTTCCTCAGGACTAAGGAAGGAGACCAGAGCACACAGGCTGTTCATGGTCTGGATTCCAAGCAAGACCAGAGGGGAGAGCAGGGGCAGGAGACAGGAGGTGCACGAGGACAAGCTCTGTGTGTCTCAGTCAGACCCAACGAGAGCCCCACCAAACAAGCTGTGTGGCGCTGACATCACTGCCCAGGTCAGCCACGCATGCCCCAGCTCACTACCTCATCACATGACAGGTCATAGGGCATGCTGACATCCCTGTGTCACTTGCTGAAGCTGGACGTATCTCCAGACTGTGGAAAGAAAGACTACTGTGTCCCCACCCAGAGCCATAAACACACAGGACGAGGCTTACACTCAGCGCCTGCTTTTCTGGGATCTAGTTCCAATTTGCCACAGATTAAGGATGCTTTCTTTACCTCAGCACCACTGATGTGTTGGGTGGGGTGATGCTTTGCCGGGGCAATCTTGCAGGATATGTGGCAGACACCCTGGTATCTACCCACCAGATGCCAGGAGCACGGTCTGCCTCTCCGAAGGGTGCTGGGAGCCACCTTCTGCTGTCCTAGGTGGTGCAGGGAGCTCACCTCCATCCCGTCCATGGCCATGGTGGCCAGGTAGTTTGGGTCCTGCTTGTTCCAGCAGAGGCGAAGCAGCGGGTGGTGCTGGGGGTCTTCATAAATGATGGTGCTGTGTTCTAGATGACGGAGGTCGAACATCCGCACCGAGCCATCAGCCCCCACAGAGGCAAACATGTCCCTGCCACCCCCAGCCCGGCTAAATGCAATATCATAGACCTGTTGGGGAAGAAGAAGGTTCAATCAGGTCAGATCCATCATCTGCTTTTTCCAGAGCAGGGAAATTTACCACGTCCAGCTCGGCTAAACCCAGTTCATGGCACGGAAGTGGGTGGAGGAAGCCCACTGTCCCGGAGGACCTGAACCCACAAGCTCTGATATCAGTGACTTCCCAAAGAGCGAAGATCATTGTGCTCTAGGAGCCAGCTGCTTCTTCCCACGTTCCTGCTTTCCAAGTCGTCTTTCTCCAGTGACTGTGTTGAAACAAAAGGCACGCACCCTGCTGACGACAGAGCGGTAGCTGCCTCCTGCCCTTTGGGCCTCAGTGGCTTTCATTTGGGCACAACCAAAGCAGGCCCTTGACCACTCTGGGGCTGAGACCATCTATCTAGAAGCAGCCCTCCTGTGGCCACGTGACTTCAGCCAAGCCAATTATGCTGTGAACCTGGACCCAAGACTCATTTGCAAGAAAACATCAAGGAGGCCCGGGTGGCCCCAGATTCCCAAGTGGGCATAGTAGCACGTCTAGTCCTAGATCACACTGCTGCTTCTCCTAGTTGGTTTGTGCTCATAAGTAACTCAGCTGAGGTTCTGAAGAGCTGCTTCCTGAGTTTACTATTTGCTGTGAATACCGCAGATCACTATGTCTATGAGGAGATAGAGGCAGAGAGCGATAGAGAGCTTCACAGAAGAGAGGGACAAGGAGAGACAGAAACAGAAAAACAGATGCCCAGCCCCATCTGCCTTCTGGGCCAGCTGCCTTCTGGGGGACACAAGAGGGCCTTCCCCTGGACATGCAGCCCAGCCTTCCTGAGGCTCCGCCTACCAAAGGCACAGCCAAGTAGGCGTCCCTTTCTGTCCAATTCCGCCGATGCCTTTTTACTGGCTGACCGTGAAGCTACGCTTCTCGTTCTATGGCAGAAATTGGAAGGGTCTGAAAACCAGGGCCTGACACAGCCGACAGACCATGGCTCTGCCCAATGCTGTCTGGCTGCTATGCAGCAGAGGCGTGTGATCAAGTATGCACCCCAGAACGCCAGCTCTCGGCACCCTCGGGGATGGGGAAGCCACAGGGCACCCCCAGGCAGTATGGCTGATCACACAAGCCCTCAGCTTTAAGTGACTCCTTCCCTGCCCCAGCAGAGTGGCTCACTCAGAGATGAAGGGAGGTGACAGCTCCTGTGAACAGAGCGCTCCTCCTCAATGGCCTGTCGGGCAGCCACGAGGGCCCCCAAACCAGCCTTTTCTCAGAGAGAGGTGGACTGGGCAATCTTGAAGCTGCTGGCAGGCGCTGCTGTTTCTCCAGTGCCACCACCCTTGGGTCATGCCTTCGAGGCCAGGGCACCAGGCCCAGACCTCTTCCCCACTCTCTCCCCACAAGAACCGATTCCCACAGCTGCGTGTGGCAGGGTCCCAGGCCTGCTGGGTGCTTCTGCTGGTTCAGCTGTGGGAGGCCAGGTGGGAAGCAAGAAGTGTTGCCGCCAGGTAAGCCCAGCCCCTGCGCCCAGGAACCCTGCTCCTCCCTCGGCACTGCGGGAAGTATTTTCTATCTCACCTTTGCCATCATCTGCAAGCAATGCCCTGAATTAAATCCCCTTCTCTCGAATTACCTAAGAGTAATTTCTGCTTGGAGTCGGACCTAACAGAGAACAGCAGGCTAACAGGTCATAGAGCTAAAACCTGGCAACCTGTTCCATGTGATGCCCAGAGAGTTCCCAGAAGCTCTTCACCGATCCCCTCTGCAGGACAAACTCTTCATGTGACCCTTGTAATTTAGCAGCAGTTGAGCCCAGAAGTCTCATAACAGACCTTATCCCTTGGATTACAGAAAGCCACCAAAGAACAAGTCCTTACTGAGAATGAAACCCGAGTTGCCACCTTCCTAGTCCGCTGACAGTCCCAAGTTTCTGACCTAAGGTCAAGCAAGGGATACCTCTGACCTGTGCAGATGTCAATACTCCTGGTCGTGCCAGGCAAAGCAGAAAAGAAGCACCAACTACAGGAAATCAGAGGAGCAGAGGCAGCAACGACTCCATGAGGAAAATACTCAGGACCGTTTTCCAAAATCACCCAGAAAAATGCTTTGATTAAAACACCATCACCAGCTGGTGTGGTGGCCCATGCCTGTAATCCTAGCACTCTGGGAGGCCGAGGCAGGATTGCTTGAGTCCAGGAGTTCAACACCAGCTTGGGCAACAAAATGAGATTTCTACAAAAAAAAAAAATTACTGGCCAAATATGGTGGTACATCCCTGGGGTCCCACCTACTCATCAGGCTGAGGTCTGCATCCAGGAGGTCAAGGCTGCAATGAGCTGTGATTGTGCAACTGCACTCCAGCCTTCGGGACAAAGTGAGACCCCAACTCACAAAAACAAAACGCAATCACAAATAGCTCTCCTCGGCTTTTTCAAAAACACAGAAGGAACCTCACCACCTAAGAAAAACATACTCAATTGCAAGCCGTAATAAAAGTTTAAAGATTAAGTGAACATAGCTGGGTGTAGTGGGTCACACCTGTCATCCCAGCACTTTGGAAAGCAGAGGCAAGAGGACTGCCTGAGTCCCGGGGTTCAAGACCAGTCTGGGCAACTTGGCGAAACCTCATCTCTATAATAAATCAAAAATTAGCCAGGTGTGGTGGAGCACACCTGTAGTTCCAGCTACTTGGAAGGCTGAGGCGGAAGGATTGGCTGAGTCTAGTAGGTCGAGGCTGCGGTGGCCATGATTGTGCCACTGTACTCTAGCCCGGGCAACAGAGTGAGACCTCAACTCAAAACACACACACATACACACACACACACACACAGATTATTAGGTGAACATATTAGGATTTCATAAAATATTTTAAGAGAAAAATCGACAATTAGGTTTACCTGTCAGGAAATTTTCTCTCTTCCTACTCCCTTCCCACTCCCATTCCTAAAAAGTGAATATATTTTGAGATAAGACTCTAAGTATTTTTTAAATTTAATTTCTTTTTTTTGAGTTGGAGTCTCACTCTGTCGTCCAGACTGGAGTGCAGTGGCACGTTCATGGTCACCACAGCCTTGACATGCTGGGCTCCGGCGATCCTTCCGGCTCAGCCTTCCAAGTAGCTGGAACTACAGGCACGCACTACCACGTCTGGCTAATTTTTTGATTTATTGTAAAGATGAGGTCTTGCCAAGTTGCCTAAGTGGGTCTCGAACCCGTGGGCTCAGGCAATTCACTCACCTCGGCCCTCCAAAGCGCAGGATTACAGGTTGAGTCACCGAGCCCGAACAAATTTAATTTTTAATTATTGCAGAGATAAGGTCTCACTATGTTGCCTAGGCTGGTCTCAACCTCCTGGGCTTGAGCAGTCCTCTTACTTCAGCCTCTCCAAGTGCTAGGATTACGTGAATCTATAAGAGAGTTCACTGGTTTTTTTTTTTTTTTGGTTTTCTTGTTTTTTTTGAGTTGGAGTCTCACTCTGTCGCCCAGACTGGAGAGCAGTGGCACGCTCCCGGCCACCGCAGCCTTGACCTGCTGGGCTCCGGCGATCTTCCGCCTTAGCCTTCTAAGTAGCTGGAACTACATGCCTGGCTAAGTAGCACTACCATGCCTGGCTAATTTTTTGATTTATTGTAAAGATGAGGTCTTGCTAAGTTGCCCAGGCAGGTCTCGACCTGTGGACTCAGGTAATCCACTCACCTCAGCCTCCCAAAGCGTGGGATTACAGGCTGAGCCACCGAGCCTGGCTGAGAGTTCACTGTTAAAAAACATAGCAACATTTTGGCATGAAAAGAAAAATAATAAAATGTAGAATTGATAAGTTGTTTGTATCAGTCACAAAAAAAAAAAGCACTAGTTTACAACAGTACTGTTTTCCACTGTACTACACAGTTTCGTCTTCAAGTTTTCGTAAGGAGGCACCATATGCTTCTATGACATGATTTTCTACGCAAACTGTTGGAACAGTGCGAGCACAGCCTGCTCTCTCACACTGAAGGCACATCAAGACTCTGAGGAGAGAGGAACAGGAAAGGCATCTTTACCTCTTTGTCATGGGCTATCAGCTGGGTCTTCACATGGCCAGACACAAGATTCACTCGGCCCAGCACCTGCCCCGTCTCCAGCCCCCAGATGGTGCAAGTCGTATCGATGCTCGAGGTCCCTGCAAACAACCAGGGCTGGTCAGCGGGCGGCCGGAGACAGGTTCCCACACGAGCCTCCCTTTTGCACCTGGTTGGCCCAGGGGATGACAGACCAGACCCTCCCTGGACATGGGGGGGCGTGGCCAGGGAGCCGCCCGGGTCAAGTGTTCAGTCCTCACCTCAGCGCCAAGCTGGAGACACCAGGCACACACACGGCGCTGGGGTTCATCCAGGGAGTCAAGACCCATGTTCCATACCGTGCCCATCCCCCACCAGGCCTGGCCTAGCGTGATATATGGACCTCGAGCCCCGAATCAACACCTGAGAGCAATCATTAATCCCTGTGCCCTGTCTTCCTTACCCAAAAGATAAGGGTCCACCTCATTCCAGTCAAAGGAGGTCAGGGGAGCACAGAAATCAGAGTTCTTGTTATTGTTCAGCAAACATTCCAGCCTGGTCTCTGTTTCACCAACCTGGAGGAACAATAATTTTTAAAACTCAGTCAGTCTTATCCTCATAAAAAGACAGTATCTTAATAAACGTAAGACCTGAGGGGAGAACATGTTTAACAAAAAGAATAATAAACCCAGAAGAACTCTCTGAATGCTGTTCTTCCCCCAACGTCCTCTCTGCCCGGCTGTACTTTCTCAAGTTTCATCCCTGCATCTTGCTGGAGAAGTCTTCTCCCCTCACCCAACCTGGAATCTCGCACCTGGCCTGGCTCCACCGCAGGCTGCAGGGGAGTGAGCTGCTGAGCTCAGCTGAGAGGGAGGGTGTCTCCGAGAGCTTCTCCACACTCTCCTCCAGTCAGTGACCTGGCACTTGTTACACGTACTCGGGAGTACCTTGGCTGAAAACAGGACGTGACGTCCCAAGCATCCTGCCTACTTCTGTGGAAGGCTGTCATCGGCACATCAGCTTTCCAGGGCTGACAGTGGCTGGCAGCGAGGCTTCAAGGAGCCCCCACTAGCTTTACCAGAAACCTGCTGGCCTAGCAAGGCCAGCCCAGACAAGTGGCACCTGTGTCTCCAATGCTGCCAGACACCCAGCACCTCCAACCCCAGGTTGTTTTCCACAACGCGCTGCCGCCAGTTCAGCCAGAGAGCCCACCTGCCAGGTGGCCAAGGCAGCATCGGCTTACCCTCCACACACGGAGATAGTCACCACTTGTCGCCAGGAGGTCCGGGTAGACACCTTTCGTGTCAGGGATCCACATGAGCTTTGTGGTGGGGTACGGGTGGTCAAAGGTGTTTCGGCAGATGAACTCCGAACTCTCCTCGTCTAGGCCAACGAGCTGCACCTGGAACACACGCACACCCCGTGTGTCAAACACGGCTGACCCTGGTCAGTGTGAAGTCTTGATACTGCTCTGCACGCAACTGCAGTCAACCAAACTCTTCCAGCGACTGGGCTCTAGCCAGTCATCCTGCCAGATGAGGATACGCAGACCCAAAGGATCCAGCTGCATTCAGCAGCACAAGGACAGAAGAGCCAGAGCCAAGACTCAAATGCAGGTTACCCGACTCCAAGTCCTGCACTCTTGACCCAGGACTACAAAACTGCATGATGGGCCGGCCGGGATCGCCTCCCCCACAGCCTCTGAGGGAAGTGAGCACGAGTAGGGATGGTTTTGGCTGCCACACGCCTGAGTACTGCGGGCACTTGGTGCTCAGGGGCCAGGAATCCCAACACCCTGTGCAGCCTCGTACAACACACTAACGCCCACATACAAGGCTAACTGTACACAATGCTCACTGCCCCCAAACTCAACATGGGCTGTTTACACGTAAGAATGTGTCGAACCAGCATTCAGGACCCAAACCACTGTGATTGGCAGAAAAGTGGGTGCCAATGACAAAGTCCTACCTGGTTCTGGCCACCTTTTCAAGAGTCAAGTTTAGCCCAGCTCTGACTTCCATCCTTGGTGTCAAACTCACTCAACCTGGCTCAATAGAGATGACACTCTACACACTTGGTTGTGAACTTCCAACTGGAAGGTAGAATGGTGGGGATTTTTGGTAGGGATCCGTAAGGAGAAGTAAACCACTAACTACACAACTGGGCTCTTGTGTGTATCAGCTGTTACTGCTTTTCTTATTGCTAAATATACTGCATTAAGTGTATACTCAGCAGTACAATGTATCATCTACTTATCCTTGAGGAACTTTCCAATTTCTAGTTTGGGGTCATTATAAAAGTTGATGCTAGCCGGGCTTGGTGGCTCAGCCTGTAATCCCGCGCCTTTGGGAGACTGAGGTGAGTGGATGGCCTGAGCCCGTGGGTTTGAGACCCGCCTGGGCAACTTGGCGAGACCTCATCTCTGCAATAAATCAAAAAATCAGCCGGGCGTGGTAGCGCATGCCTGTAATTCCGGCTACTCGGAAGGCTGAGGCGGAAGGATCACCGGAGCCCAGCAGGTCAAGGCTGCGGTGGCCGGGAGCGGCCACTGCACTCCAGTCTGGGTGACAGAGTGAGACTCCAACTCAAAAAAAAAAAAAAAAAAAAAAAAGTTGATGCTATAAATATTTATGTACAAGTCTCTTTGTGGACATGCTTTATTTTTCTTGGGCAGACAACTTTAAGAGTAGAATTGGCAAGGAAACTCAGATGGTATGTCTACACTTAACTTTACTTAAAAATAGCTGGGCTCGGTGGCTCAGCCTGTAATCCCAGCACTTTGGGAGGCTGAGGTGAGTAGAATGCCTGAGCCCGTGGGTTCGAGACCCGCATGGGCAACTTGACGAGACCTCATCTCTACAATAAATCAAAAATTAGCTGGGCATGGTAGCGCGCGCCTGTAGTTCCAGCTACTTGGAAGGCGGAGGCGGAAGGATCGCCAGAGCCCAGCAGGTTGAGGCTGCGGTAGCCGGGAGCAGCCACTGCACTCCAGTGTGGGCGACAGAGTGAGACTCCAACTCAAAAAAAGCCCAAAAAACTTTACTTAAAAAGAAAAAAACTAGCCGGGCTCGGTGGCTCAGCCTATAATCCCGCACCTTTGGGAGGCTGAGGTGAGTGAATTGCCTGAGCCCGCGGGTTCGAGACCCGCCTGGGGCAGCGAGACCTCATCTCTACAATAAATAAAAAAATTAGCCGGGTGTGGTAGCGTGTGCCTGTAATCCCGGCTACTCAGAAGGCTGAGGCGGAAGGATCGCTGGAGCCCAGTGGGTCGAGGCTGCGG